GGTATTCAGTATAAAATATATCAATAAGATTTATATTTTAAACACCTTCAGTGCAATTAAATCTAATATTTAAAAAGCAACGAACTGTAATCTTTTAGAAAATAGTAAAAACTGATTTAAGATATCATTGTCGTGTTTTGTTGGAACTGAGAGAGCTAAAGGAAAATATTCCATAAGATACGCCAAGTTAAAAAATAATCAGGGGTTAGTATCATAATCGTAAAACACTTCAATGCGTAATTAAATTAAATAAATTTTAAACAATTATATTTACCAAAGATTACACGATTTTTGACTTAGGAAATCAATTACTAATAGAGGACAAAGCACCGGAACGTTTTTTATTTTAAATACATTAATTAAGCTTTAACCTAAAATCATTTAGAATGCATCGTATTTCATTAGTATGCAAAAACCTGCGGAATAGACTATTTTTACAGAAAATGATTTGTTTATCGTTTTTAATGCCCGATAAATAATTCCAGGATATTGAGAATTCAGATAGTGTTTTTTTATTATGTAATTCAGGTATTAAATTTAATTTGATTTAGGTTTCAATAAGTTGAAATAAATAGTTATGTTTTCACATGGTGTAAAATGTTTTTTTACTTATAATTAATATTAACACCTTATTTAACTAAGTTTTGATTTTATCTTAATTGATATCAATAAATATTTCTTTGTTATGCGGTATCAAGTCAGAAAAATAGCCATACATACTATTCATCGATTAAATAATCATAAATTTATGATTTACAATATAGATATCAAACATTAAGTCTTCGTTTTTCTGATCATAAAATTGTTGCAGGTGTGATGTATTGTTGATAAATAGTTATACACGTTTCTAAAAATTTTTGTAAACTTATAAATCAGCATTTTCATACATTTTAATCAAATTAATCTCTTAAATTTTATCTAAAATGCACAAACATAAATATTTTTTAGCCTACGGGAAAGTAGCATTAAGTAAACTACAGTTTTATTTTATTATTTCATAATTAAGTACATAATGCAATAATACATATGCTGAAACTGTTTAACAATAATTTTCATATACTTAAATTATTAATAACGGCTTAAGTTTAAATAACTTTATTTTAGTATTAATGGACAGTGCTAAGTCAAAAAATTATCAGCTTGTAATAACCCAAATTAAAAGAATTGTTGGTAATCGACTTCCATTTTCTTTATTTTCATAATGTTAACAAAAAGTCATTATCAGTTAATGCTTCAATATTTGCGACACAGTTGACTAAAACTAAATTCCACCCGAAAATACTAGTTCAAATAACTATACAAGAATTATCGAGTTTAAAAAATTTGAACGTCACACAAGAAAAAAATTAGAAAGTCTATCAAATACTGACGATAGCTTTCATAATACAAGTCACTCAGAATTTGAATGTGATGTTGAAAAACCAACAACAAGTAAAGTATGTTTAAAAATTATGACACCACAGCTAACATGGGCGCTTAATAAAACTAACGTATCTACTAAAATGCCACAAATATTTTAGCAGCTACTTTAACAAATTTTAGTAAAGAAATAAAAGACGTGTCAATAAGTAAAGATACGATATAAGAAGAGCTCGTATTTGTAATAGGAAAAGTAGAGAAACACCTAAAAGAGTTACCATCTGATGAAAAAAAATTATCGAAAGATTAGCTTAAATTATTCTATAAACATTATTAAATATGAAAATGATATTTTTAATATAAAATGAAGTATATGACTTAATAAACATCATAAAAAGGTAATAATTTTCTTTCTTCTTCTTTTTCCTCACCTTAATCCCAACTACTTGGGGTCGGCCACAAAAAAAAGTAATAATTTTCATTATTAGTAAAAAAATTTTACATCATATAATAAAATTAACAAACAAATTAACTATCAATTTTTTAAAACTTAAATAAAATATTTAACCCCGTTCAGATTGATCCGAAAAGTATCGTATAATTTGACGTTTACGTTAATTATGTAATCAATATAGGTCTCAGAAATTATAAATATCTTTTGCTACGTAAGAATACAACATTTTACATATAGTGATGATTATAATTGACAAAAAAATTTAGAATTTTAATCATATTTTAATAATTAGGAGGTATTTTTAATTAAAATACAAAAAACGTGTGTTAAGTGATTTTTAAAAAAATTTTTATCGATCTCAAATTTTCAAAACATATTTTTTTATGTACTATTTTATCAATCTTATATTTGCAGAACATGTTTTTTTATGTACTTAATAAATCTAGTGGGTGTCTGATAAAAATTTTCAAGGTCGATTTTATTCTCGCCACCCTACTGCCTAGGCCACTAAAATCAATGGACTATTGGGACCACCCCCTGTTTCCTAATTCAGGTCTGAAAATAATAATGATAATAAATGACCTTATTTAACTCAATGAGTGCATTTGAAAACTCTGAACCTGTGTGATTTCTACAATACATGATCTGATGAGATTTATAAATGGATGAACAGGAAGTTGACACATTGATTCTTCATTAAAAACTGTATACGTGTTTATTCTTATATACAAGTATTACCTTAGACATTTTTGTGAACCTATCTAAACTTTCTAACTTAACAAGCTTTTAAAAATGGTTTGATATTTATCAAAATGATGTATCTGTTCATAAAAAATACATTTGAAAAATCGTTTTTCAAGATTTAATAACTTACATCGTTTTATAAATAAGTGGGGAAATAGTGGTCTAAGTTGAGTATTATAAAATAACAAATAATACTAAATAAACTAAACAATAAGGTTACATAACAACATTACATATTTTGACAGCTATTTTTAGCGCTAACCGTTCTCCGGGTTGTTTTGTTTTTTTTTAACATTTGTTTATTATATTTACTTGCACATTTAATAGTTTCAACTTTTAGGACGTACATTCATAATTACTGTAGACTGTTTTTATTGTTGTATTTGTGATTTGTGACTAAACCTGTCGAAAAAAAACATCACCAAATAATACGTAAGAGATGTGTGCTTCAGTATACTATTTTCGAAAAGACGTTGAGTAATTACATAATAATAACCGTCTATGGACTTCTTTGGGCGTTGGAGTACTATTTTTATAGTAAAATAAATTCGTCACATTAAGTTTAAAATCTTCTTTTTATCACGAGCGTAACAAGCGATAACAATAGAATTTTCCTGCTCGTTACGATAGTAATTTGCTAAAAACAGAAATACAAATGTAATTACTATAACACTTTCAAATAGTATAGGAATAGTATTTTTCCGTTATGTATCTTCGTCGTGCGTCACAAATGTCAAAAATATTACTTAAGTCGACTGAATACTTATCGGTAATGATTGAACAAGTTCCAAATGACATGTTTTTGTTAAGGAAAAATTAAAACGATAAAAAACAAACAATAAACACTAGACTTGTCATATTTTGATACTGTTTAGCTTTTCCATTAAATTATTAGTTACATATTTTTCATTTATTTGTTGATTTTATTATTTTTTGTTGGCCATTTTTTCAAGTTTTATATTACCAATAGTACGTATTCCCACTAATTACAACTCTATAAAATATAGATATTACTAGTGCTATCTACAGTGCATCTTACAGACATCAAGTCGATTATTACGCATAATATTATGTACCAAATTAGTATAGCCAAGTGACAGCATTGATGTGTTACACGCATTAATTATAATTAATAAGTAAACTGCGTTTCTCTATACTGGTGTCAATAGAGTCATTTTCGTAACATAAACAATATTTCCTTTGAGAGCAAAATAACTTTTAAAATACTTATACGGGTCGTCTTATTCATTAGGAACTATAGACACTGTGTATACGAAGTTACTTAGAAGAACTTTTTTTTCTTCTAATTGTATTTCATAATGGAGAAACTAATATCATTTGATATTTAATTTGTAAGATTTACAATATGTTTGTTATAAGTCCACAATGACATCTCTGCGTATCAGAGTAATTTATTTTTATTTTTTACACGAATACGACATATAATTCATTAGTCATTGGTATCATGCTTGGGGTTTTTAATTGTAATCAAATAATAAAGTCTACGTTAAACTTTAACTATCGAATTAGAAACTAAAACATTGGTGAAAATTAAAATATTGTATAATAACGAATGACGGCGAGATCAAATCAATGCACACATTAAAAGTAAAGACTATTTAAACAAGAGTATATCATATAAATGTAAAGTTTGTTTAAAAACATTTAATTGACAATACGTACAAACTCGATATCTGAAAATTCATATAGAAAAGAGGCCATATATATGTTGTTTAAAAATATTTTATCGCCATCATACACTAACTGCACACACAAGAAAACGGGGTCAAATAAATGTAAATTTGTTAAAATTCTTTTAAGAAACAAATAACACTTACAAGACATCGAAAATCACACAATAAAGATTGTAACAAGTGTTTATAAATTGAGAACTTCATAGTTGCATCTGAAAAAGTGTCGTCTTAATTTTTATCTTTATATTAATATATTTTAGGCGAATCATAATTTTTTATGTTATAAATATATTTCTATAAAATTTAATATTAAATTTTGAATCATTTGTTTTTATTATATGAAATAAACTTTTTGATTCCTACGCTGTAATTAAAATTTATAGTTTAGTTTCTATAAACACTGTTTAATTTGAGCTATTCATATTTAAGCTAATTACGATCGTATTCAATTAGCTGTCATAGGGACAAATATGAGAACTAGTTCATCAACAAGTTTCTTTTTCGATATTTCTAAAATCTAAATAGCTGGGCTACATTTTTAGATTACACCCTGACTTAAACCCACGGCCGTTCGCAAAATTTGAACATTTTCTAGATGGTTAATTATGTTACTTGTGCAATTCGTTTTCGAAACATAAGATAATTAAATTTACCAAGTGAACTGTGAACCTAAAAACAATACATGACTAATTGACGATGTGACGTGTTTAGAAAAGCAGGCAGAACGTGGGTATATTAGAAGAGGATCATTTTACTAGTGTAGACATTTGGATGGTTCATATAACGCGCATTTCTATCATTCAATAAATATTAGTACAGATACGACATTTTATTATTTCTAAATTAATAGTGATGTGAGTGAAATTGCCGAAAGATTACGAGATCAAGTTATAAAATTTGTTTTAAATCATAACGGTTGGATTAAATTTTTCTCTACTAGCAAAATGTTATTTGCTAAAAGGCAACCGTCGCTGGTCACGGAAGTGATCCTTTCACGGTGGGTGGGTCGTGAAAGGTCTATCCGCAAGTCGCAAGAAATCGCACACAAGCCACCAGTATCCAGCAACAGCATAGTTATCTTCATAAAAGTGGTGCGTTTTACTTTTGTGCATCATTAATCAGATGACGATTTTTATAAAATGTTTAACAAAATAATTGCAGTTCATTACCAGCACTATAATGGCGTACCAACAAATTATTATTGGCGGTTCTATTGGATTAACGTCAATACTCATAGCTCAATTCCGGGAACCCGATTCTCATATAAAAGCCGACAGTGATCAAGCCTCGTGGATTGGTGTGTATGCCCACATTATATTATGTGTAACCGTTTAATTTTAAAAGTAATTAGGCTAATAAATAAATTAGTGTAATTAATAGATCACATTTGACTAATGACTAGTTTTCAGCGATTTAAAATTATATTAACAATTATTTTATTTGATGTACACAGCTAGTCTGACCATGTTGCCTTGTCCCATCGGTTCTTTGATTTGTGGATATTTAACAGACAGAATAGGCCGAAAAGGTGCGTTGCAAGTTGCTTTTGTACCGACGGTTATTAGCATGTTTCTCCTTTGCTACGCCAAATCGATGCCAGTTGTGTACTGTGCCAGAATGCTTTCAGGAATATCATTCGGTAAATATCATAAAACATTTGCTTGAAAATAAAAAATTATAATTTTTTTTTTTAAATTTTACTTACGTAAAAAAATTAATTAAAAACGTGTCTTAATAAAAGTGTAACATTTCAAAATTATCGTATGAGAAATACATGATATTCATTTAAGTTTGTCAGAAATTTAAACAATAATTGTATAAATAGAATTTTATGTCAGGAAAATGTTTCTTTTTTTTATGAAATATAAATTAAATTTATAATTGATAAAAATTAATAAAAAGAGATTTAGAGTTGTAGATGGAAACATGGATTCTTTTAGTATCAATAATTTTAAAATATTTTCGTTTTACACATTCTGAGCAAAAAATACTTGATTATTATAAAAACGAGAAAAATTATTTTATCCATCAAAGTTCATGTCAAAAAAATTAATCATTTTGAATTTAAATACTTGTAGCTAAAATTGTAATAACTCCATAAGAATTAACTACAATGACTAAGTTACATTGAACGCATAGCTACAAAACCAATATATAAAATGTACTTAAATAATTAAGGATGTCGATTCAATAAATTCTACATTAGTTTCAATTATTCGTAGTAATGAAATTTAGAATTGTCCCGTGATTGAGTGATATTAACTTTCCTTGTGTTTTTTTTTCAGGTACTGGAGGTCCGATATTCGCTTATATAGCTGAAACTAGTCCGACCAAGTGGCGTCCTTTTTTCTTCATGTTGTTTAACTTCTACGTCGGTCTGGGAATGACCATGGCAGCCGCACTAGGTATTTTTTTCCATTGGACGACTATATCTTTTATTTACGGCGTATTGAGCATTATTGGCTTCCTCATGCCATTTGCTATACCAGAAACGCCCGCATACCTAAGATTCCGTGGTTTGGAAGAAGAGGCTAAGGTATCCGAAGAATGGTTTGGATTTAAGTTACCAGCTAAAGAGCCGATTGTCACTCCCAATGAAAATTCGCAACACGAAATCATACCCGATTCGTTTTGGAAACAATTGAAACTTCCAATTGTATGGAAACCAGCAGTGATTGTGTTACTATTTTTTATTTGCCAACAAGGTTCTGGATTCTATCCCGTTATGTTTTATTCAGTAGACGTACTTCATGATTGCATGGTGACTGTTGACCCCACAAAGGCCGGTATGCTCTTGGCTGGTTCGCGAACATTTGCCAGTGTGTTTAACTTAGTACTTCAGGCCGTGCCCAAGAAAACTTTAACGGTCGCTTCGGGCACAGGAATGTTCTTGATGTTAGTTGGAATACTCACATACCTACACATATTTACTGGTGTAGTAGATCCGCCTTACTCGGATATAGTACTGTATGCGTTTATGATATTCGTGTTCTTTTCCATGTTTGCTATACTACCGTTACCTTGGAGTATCTGCAGTGAGATCTTTCCTATATCGGTAAAAGGCACCATGACCGGAATACTTTACTCGGTCGGATACGAACTCATGTTCCTAGGTATCAAAATATACCCTACTATGGTGCATTCACTAGGTGCTAAAACGGTTTGGACAATTTATGGCAGTTTTTGTTTTAGCACAATCTTGTTTGGAGCATTTATCATGCCGGAAACAACTGGAAAAACACTCGATGAAATACAAGAAAACTTCGATCGGCACCCAAAAAAGAAACAAAACAAAACTGTGTCAGAAGAGCCAAAAAATGATTTCTATTTGTAAAATCTGTGAAATGTTGACATTTTCTAAAGACGGCCACAATTCAAATCTAGTCTACAAACTAATACAAGACTCGATTAATTTTAAAGTCGTACATACAAAAACATTAAGCCACAATTAGTTCTAATACTTTATATTTAGAATATAATATAGAGATTATATTCGGTTTATTTATGTCGAAATCAAAATTAAAAGATGATTCACTAAAAGTACACAATTAGGTCTTGACTTGGAAAATGTGATGCATATTAGATAATTTTAAGAAGTTTCTCACGTTACAACTTGAGTATCTATTATACGAATAAACTACTTATATGTAGTAGATTTCAGCAAATAAAAGAGAATATTGTCAATAATTTGTATGCGGTGTGTTTGTATGATGACAACTAAAACTTTAATTGTTTATAAATTTAACATATCCTAGCCAAACGACAAATAAAATGGTTTTGTCAATTAAGATTCAATACAATTTTTCTTACTTGTACATATAATGTAGATATATTTTTATATTTTTATCAGTTTTCGTTAATAATTGTTGAAATACTTTAGGAGCTTAAAATTGTAAATAAGTTACTAACATTTCGATAAATGTCTAAATATAGTGTTGTTATAATGTAAGTAGTTTATCATATAGAATCACTAAATATAATATATCAATATACTATAGAAGTAATAATAATAATATGTTATTATCATTCAGTTTATTTTCATTAAACGGCTTATAAACGGCGTTTTGGCTAGGCAATTTTGTTACTTGCCTGTAATTTTTATAAAAATTTTATATTTTTACCATTTAAGGCGCTAATCCTAAATTAGCTAAATATATTACTTAGAGTAATCAAATTTATACTTGACAACTGAATTTGGCTCAACGGGATTTGATAGAAAATTGTTGACTGGGAATTTTTTAACTTCATTTGCAATAAAGCATTTTTAGTCTTTGAACGACAAATTAAATATTAAAAATACAAAAACAATGGGAAGCCCTAGAAATGTAAAAACATTGAGAGATCATAGAAATTAAAAAAAATTAAGAAGCCAAAGAAATGCAAAAAATATTAAGAAGCCATAGGAATGCAAAAAAAATTTAAAAGCAATAGAAATTCAAAAAACCATAGAAATACGAAAAAAATAAATAAAGAAATTATAATTTTTTTTTTTAAATATATTCTATATAAGAAAAATTCGGCGAAGAAAAAGTAAATTGTGGAAAGATTGTATGGCAAGTGGAACTCGGGTGCAATATGATTGAAAATGTGTTAAAGCTTAAGTATTCAATGAATTCTTTTATTTTGAAATTTCATAAACTGATAAATTGTTTATAGCTCCAGTAAAAATACAAAAATTGAAAATAGTGATAGTTCGTAACAGGTAATTGCATAAGTAACACGCTGTTATATAAGTAATTTTTCTTTATTTGTATATTTTGCACAGTACTTATAATAATTTATTTCATATTTTATTTAATTTAGTATAGTAAAAGTATTTTAAAATTAAATTATTGAATGTCAGCAAAAATATACCCGAAAATTGTTTCAGAGAGAAAATTTTTAATGTGTTAATTTTTTATCATTTTAAGAATTATTAGCTTTGAGAGTTTCCTGTCCGCTTCTTCTCAGTCACCACTCCTTTCTTATATATCGACATACCTCTAGATTATATTCTACATTCTATTTAAAAGCTTATGGTTATAATTTTTTATAAATAGAATATTACGTGAATATAATAATATTGTAACTATCTATTTTTCCAGTATTTTTCAGTATATGGATTATCTACCTTAAAGCAAATAGTTATTTGTAATTATTAGTTCCATTAATTATTTTATTTAATTGATATACTACAATATTTTATTATTGTTAACTATTATATTTTATATTAATTCTTATATTGTAAAAGCCTTTATGACGTTCACATTTTTACTTAAAATTATATAAATAAACAATAATTATTTGCTTTCACATCTCTATTATTTTTTTCATTAAATAAATATGAGAGTCGATAAAAAGTAAACCTACCCATCATTTTATCTAATATTTAGTAACTTGCTATATTGTAGCAACAATTTTCAATTTTCTAATTATTTTATTACTTATATTTTTTAAACGTAATTGAGTAATTCATAAGCATTTTGGACACTAACTAATAACGTTTAACGGTGCAGTGTAAATTAATGTAAAAAATATTGACTAAAAAAATAATAGAAAATTTATTTTTTATTTATAATAACATTTTATTTAACGTTTTTACATAAAATTACTTAAACCTTAATGTAATTAAAAAAAAATACAAGTAAATTAAAAACAGGAACTTAGGGCTGTTAAATACATTTGAAATACTTCAGATGATAATGACTCAAAGTTTAATTGTATGTAACTAAATAAATTTTGCAGAGAACAAAAAAAAAAAAACAAATCTTCATCGTTTCAATTTTACTAAACATACTAAATTTTATTACATAATTCTAACTTTAGTCAACCATTGTAATCCTAATGTAGGCATACAGATAAATGCATTTAAAAATAAATTACAGACGGTGTGTTGTTTGTCTTTTTAACTGGACAAGACCGGAAGGATAAAAAGGAAAGGAAAATCCGTACAAATAATTGGATTACTGTTGGTAAAATTATAATGAAAATAAATTAAATAAATAGAGCATGTCTTGTCCAGTTAAAATTGCATAACGACATCACCGTGGTCAAATAATGCGACAATAATAAATTAATAAAATTAATTAAAAAAATAATAATACATCGGTGTCTATACAATGTAATAGTCATAATGGTGATAGTGGTGGTGCTCATGTATGTGATGATGAATTTTTTTTGATGCTAATTTGGCGCGTTTGTACCGCTGGTGATTGTTTTTGGTGTTATCTTGTTCTTGAGCTGATGTGGCCGCCTCTTTGGCGGTGGCCGAAGAATGTTGGTTCAGCCACTTTGCCACTTGTTCCTCGACAGTGACCAACGGCGTATTGCCGTAGACCTTTTGTTGTTCCCGATGATGATGGTGGTGTTTCTTGTGTGCGGATGGCACGTGTGCTACCGGCTCAAAGTCGTAAGGGCTCCAGGCCACCTTGGACGGCGATTTAGGTTTGGCCGACGGCGTGACGGGCAATGCACTGGCGGTAACCGGAACAACAGATGGCGTCTCTGATTGCAATGGGACGCGACGCTTCGTCCTGGTCCTGTGATAAGATTCTGGTTTGTTAGATTTCCTAAAATAAACACAAAGAATTACATATTTTAACAATAATAATTTAATAAAAACATTCTTCAAAAATAAATTGGGAGTCGTCCAAAGCGCGAGCCGAACGTGCCATTATAACAAACAAACGTGAAATATTATTTAAACCAGCAGCAAATGGCGAGGAAAAAAAATACATGAAATTCTTCTTCTCTGTCTAATGGGTAATTTAAACATAGTATTTATCACTGCCGTACTCCGGCGGTCAGCCCTAATAACCGTAATAACAATAATAGTATTATTATATTATTATTGTTGTTTGTGCAACGCACTAGAATCGTTCACGTTCCAGTTTATCGGTAGCGATAATCGGTTTAAATAGAAATATATTTGCTATTATCGCCTCGTTCATTACCTCGAGCTTGTAATTTTGTTAGTTTTCAGTCTTACCCTTCGGGTCATAAGAACGGAGATTC